TGTGAAGGTAACAGCAGCCAAATAGACAGCACTGCCAAACCTGTTACTGATGGTGGGGGCCTGGATACACCACCCGATTCCCCAAACCTCATCTGGAGGGTCCTGATGGACGGCCGAATTGGTGCAGATGAGTTACTTATCAACATTTCGACCAACCAGCTGCTGACCGAGGGAGACAGTTTGTTCTCTTCTGAGGTGGGACCAGCAGAAGTGGGCCTGAGCAGCCTGGAGCGAGATGATCTAAACGATACACTCGAGTTTACTCTGGGCCAGAAACGCAACGACAGCGGAGACAGCCAGAACAGGACGGTGCCGAGCGGCGGGAGGACTTCCAACCGCTCCAACAGAACCAGGTAATGTAAAAAGAGCATAAAGGACATCAGCATCGCATATGAGTTTTAAGATGATGCAAAGCAGAAGCCCGTTGTTCACAGGTTCAGGTTTGGGCTCACATAAAGACATTTCATCTCAAATCGGATGAAGTCTGGACGGAAAGTGTTCAGACTGTTCAGACGTTACACACACTGTCAAACCTCTGGACTTGATTCTGGCTGCAGGCTAAAGAGAAGCAGGCTGAGAGAAATGGGCGCTTTTAAAGAGATGTCCAGGCAGAGACGCAGAGTGTCACATTGAGACAAGACTGACGGCAAGAAAAGGTTCAAAGTGAGAGTGTAACGCAGGTAGAAAGACAGACGGCCACTTAGACAGGTAATCAGGCACATGTGCATGTAGCTAGGCAGTTAGATGAGACAATATACACAATATACACTGTACTGGTTGCAAGAAAAAACAGCCAGGTTAACTGACAAGCAGCAAAGCAGGAAGACGCATAGATAAACAGTGCAGGCAGTAAATCAGTCAGACAGGTAGACCAATTGGCAGAAAAGCAGGTGGACCAGTACTGTACAAGGAAGCAATGCAGACAGACAAGTAGATATACGGTCAGCACAGCAGTCAGGCAGATGTATGCTGCAGGACAGGCCGACGGGTAGACTTGGCAGGTTTTGCATTCGTCATATTTATAATTCATGTTGGCTTCACCCGTTCTGCAGCCAGCAGCTATAAAACATACAGTGACACGCCCTTTCCTCAGGGAGACAGAGACAGGAGAGGAAACGAGCGGAGCAGAGCAACACAGAGGGGAGGAAGGTGGAGGAGGTGGGAAATGCAGCCGTGCTTAGAAACAAATAATTCAAGGTATTTGCAAGAAAAGTGAGAAATATGATGCAGAGGGGAACGTGTTCCGCTGTCAGGCTGCCATCACTTCTGGTGAGAAAATAATGGATAGGATTTGATCCGGCTTACATGGAGCGATGCCGGTGAGGTATAACTCAACGTGTCTCCGATTTTCAGATAAATGTCTGGGAACGAGGGAACGACCGTGTTATGACAGGAATGTGTGCTTGACTTTTATGTGACGTGGTGAAAAAACAAAGTGCGTCTGCCGGGCTGTGAATCAGCTGTCATGCTGTGCTTGTCTGAGGCCTGGGAGACAGCCTGCCTCTGCGTGGGTGTTTGTGTGTTTACTCCTGGGTATTCTTAAAAGTCCTGAAAAGGATATTTCATTCAAATTGTTTGAAGACGTGCTCTTAAAATGTTGCCCTGAAAACTGAAAACTTGATATCTGCAGGTTGAGGATTCATAGGAACTGCATCTGCATAGCATGCTGCAGCTGTATACTCAAACACACACGACTGACCTGCGTCCTTTGTGCGTGACAGGGGGAATCAGCGGCTCTACCAGAAGAACCTGAAGCTGAGTCCTGCTGACTTGTACCGCTGGAAACTTTCATCACAGGAGCCGTGCAGCATGACCTGCTCCATAGGTATGCAAACACTCGAAGCACACATAAAACATCCATGTTCAGTGAGAGTGTGATATCAGATCCCAGACCTGACAGGTCCCTGTAACACCTTTGACTCTTGAAACCTGACAGAGC